AGAATGTTTGATCACTAGATCACCTCTAAAACTTTGGTCCACACGGCTTTGAGTTGAAGCAGATCAGCTCTGTTTTTTATTCCTCAAGCCAGTTTTCCCATCGAGACCGCCAGCAAACTGACCACAGCTAAGTCTCTCTAACCACAACACAAAAAGTCTCTGTTTGTTTATCTTTGATTTTTAGGCATCAGACTTGAGGCAACCGAAATCACTGGACACGTTTTAATGAGTAGATTAGTTGAAAAAACTACAAACTTCTTTCTATGGGTGACCCCACCGCAAGAACTTTTAGTTTTTTTTTTTTTTGGATGTTAGTCGGACTTTAATTTGTTGTTTTAATTAATAATAAAAATTTCAATTTCTTCGGATATGGGGATTGGGGGGACTTTTGGTATTCTTTGTGGGCCTTGAACAGGCCAGTTTTGTCCGAGTCCATGTGAGCTGTCTAGAGTGTTAAAATATGATATGACTCGTCAATATAACATAAAATTAGATTACTCATTTCGTAAATAAATAGAATTAATATGATACGATTAATAAACGAATCAAATATAAGTAAAGTCAATNTATTTTATTGTATCACTTTAATTTATTATTTTCACAATTAATGGACAAGGATAAATCAAAAGAATATTAAAAGATTCCAAATTATTTAGAGGTATGGTACCCAAAAATAAAAAAAATTTCGGTACCATANGATTCATACACGACATGAATATGATATAACACCGTTCGTTAGATACGAATTGATAAATAAATCGGATATAAGTAAAATATTTTTTAACACTTACCCACGAAGAACCAATACAATGCAAAGATGCAACACGAATTCGTCTCATCCACCACAATGGGCAGGCTTACTCCTACTCCTACTGGCGAGGCAAACAAGCTACTTTTGGGCCTCCATGGAACATGGAACTGCTGGGTAGACCGAAGACCCAATGGACCATCATACTTTCATACCAGTTCATGGGCCACAAGCCTCTTGTTGATTCTTACCCCCACAGCAATAGCAGATGTTGCCTTCCCTCGTAGCATTTCTTTAAAATAACCTTGCTGATTTCGAATTTAAGTTAGATCCAACATACAAAAAACCGTCCTTCATCAATACATGAAGAGTGATGTACATAAAAGTAAAAAATTTAAAAGAAAAACGTATTGGAAGAGACTTAAAACCAAAACCAAATGAAACGTCAAATATTAGCCACTATGATTATAGTTTTCTTCCTAGAGATGCTTCCCTCGCTTTCAGCATCTTTACCTAAGCAAAACACCACGAAATTATCCTACCTTAATCTATCATTGTACGAATACTTTGTTTTATCCTAAACAAGGGAATTAAAAGTAGTTTAGAAATAACAGTGGGACAGCCAACGTCAAATTAGTTAAACAAAGCAAGGTGTCTCTCTCTCTCTCTCTCTCTCTCTCTATATCGATGACTAAACTGTCATGCTTAGTCTCTTGAAAGTCTTGAGACGCTAGTTGAGTTAGGTTCGGCTTGACCAGCCTTTTTTGATAGGTTAAGTGTTGAAATTCATCCTTAATTTATGGGGTTAAACTACGGTATAAAAAAATTACCTACTTTTTTTTTTAATAAAATTTGACACATGTAAAAATGATTTATTTTATTGTATCACTTTAATTTATTATTTTCACAATTAATGGACAAGGATAAATCAAAAGAATATTAAAAGATTCTAAATTATTTAGAGGTATGGTACCCAAAAATAAAAAAAATTTCGGTACCATAGTGCTATCCTTATTGTATTGTTTCTTTTTCCAGCAAAGAAAAATCTTTCCATAAAAGAGAGAGAAAAATCTTTGTTTCAAGTCTTCAAGATACTTGGAAAGCAACGCCAAGGTCTTTTCCTTTCTGTTTTGCAAATACTATAATCTGACCCCTCAATTACATTCCCCATCTCCTATTATTATTCTAGTATTAATTTTACATTTCACCAAGTACAAACATTTGTTATATATCTGAATGAAAAATTATGTCATTTTGCCCCTAAAATTATGTAATTTTAGTGTATTTGGTTTTAGTCTAATGACACTAAGATACTTTTCGTCCAAAACGTCTAGATGTTTTTATAATGAGAAACAAATTCAAATAATCAACAGGATAAGATTTCAGAACTTAATAAAAAAGAGGACACGAACTAGGAAAGAAATTAATCGAGATACACGTAAACTATCTCGGACATNGTCTTTTCCTTTCTGTTTTGCAAATACTATAATCTGACCCCTCAATTACATTCCCCATCTCCTATTATTATTCTAGTATTAATTTTACATTTCACCAAGTACAAACATTTGTTATATATCTGAATGAAAAATTATGTCATTTTGCCCCTAAAATTATGTAATTTTAGGGTATTTGGTTTTAGTCTAATGACACTAAGATACTTTTCGTCCAAAACGTCTAGATGTTTTTATAATGAGAAACAAATTCAAATAATCAACAGGATAAGATTTCATAACTTAATAAAAAAGAGGACACGAACTAAGAAAAAAATTAAATCGAGATACACGTAAACTATCTCGGACATCTAATTATAGGCTACGCCGCTACCATTTACTACTACGAGATTTTTAATCTTTGAGGAGAAAATAAAATTTTCAAAAGTAGTAAGAGGGTAAAAATGTCAATTGATGAAGACTCTATTTAATGATAAAGATGTGACCCAGTTATGATTTGCCTTGCTATCTTTAATTTAATTATCCAAAATACAGTTTGGTAACACTTTTTAATTGTTTTTTTTCTGTGCTTTTATTAAGTACTATTTGTAGCAGTTTTTTTTTTTCTTTGTCCGAGTTTATTACCTTCTTTTAAACAAAATTATATGCATAGCAGTCCAACTATGCCTATGCATATAATCATGTTATTTATACATTGAATTGCATATAAAAATAACTACCTATGGTTTTACGTAAAGACATAAAAAACACTGCATCAAAAAAACATCGTCCTTGGTTGCGCGAGGGCTTATAGAGTCCTTATTCGCTAGGTCCAAAAGTTTCCGTAAGAGGAAAAGATTTAATCAAACAGAAATGTCGCTATTGAGCATAGCTGATACATAAACGCATTTCAGAAGAGCTTACTTTCCTCCAAGAGTATTAATCTCTAAACAGGCCATTGTGTTGCTCTGTCCTCTGCAAGTCCTACACAACACCAATGCACCTTACGCTAGTTCAAGTTCCTGCTATAGCAACCTGAATCAACCATCTTATAAGCATAGTAAAATACATACGAAAAAATGAAATAATCAGAGCATATAATGGGTGTTGAATGTGCATGCTTCAAAAATCAGATAAAGATCAAAAACATACCTGAAATATTTTAGCCTTAAGTCTCTACCTTAGGCATACATAATAACGATGGGGAGAAATTCTTTTGCTTCAAGCACTTGGTAATAAAAAAGAAAAATTGGGGTTGTTGGCCTCTGCTCATTTCGTTTTGCGGGATTAGATCTGAAAAACACGTCTTTCACAAACTCAACACATCTCATATTTCTTTCCCCCTTTTTTTCTCGTCTTCATAGCTAATTTTTGTTTCGAAACTGCAACAACTGTAAACAGGCCTTGGAAGTGAATCATGAGATTATTAACGTTTCATGGATTGAGATGAATTGCCAAATTAAGGAGGCCCTATTCCCAAATGTGTTTATTTCTCCTATTGGGATAGCACTTCTCACAAAAACATGAGAACTGTATCTCGGTAAGAATTGTTTTCATCTCCACTAAGAGATTTCTTTTGTCAACAGCAGGTAACAATGAGACTGACCAAATTTGTAGATAAAGTTCAAAATCCTGCCATTTTATTCTACGCATGAAAAAATCAACAGGACTCTATCAAGAGGCAAATGTCTTTTTTCTTGACGATCTTCCCTTTTGTTTTCCATTTTTTCTAATCTCTTCACGTCCTTTTTCGGTGTTTGGGTCAGGGGTGGGGTGAGAAAATTACAAAAGAGTACAATATGATCGAAACAGTTCACACCAAGAGTTTAGAGTTTGTTGCAGAGAGAAAGTAAAGCAACATGCCATTAACATGGTCCCAACCAAATGAAAGCATCTCCCCAATTACTAAATTTGTGAACAAAAGCTCATCACATTTCTCCTAATAGTTGGAAACTCAATTTCCTTCGAGGGTAGCCTAAGAAGCTCAACAAGTGTCAGCTGACACGCACTGGTCTAACGGAGCAACCCATGACATTACCACACAATTAGCTCAATGGATGGGTATCAGCTATCACTACATTGAGCCTCATAAATTGGTAAACTTTTCATGATAGGAAGCCTTCCAAAAAAAGATAAGATTTTAAGGGTTCAGATTCTTTAAGTTTAGCATACTTTTCGTCACTCTCTTCCTACATATAGACACTAAACACGATAATTTGTCCATCTGGTCAAGTTGAACATTTTGAAGTTCAAGCAACGAGCATGCTTATAGAAAGAAATATAAAAAATGAGCATTACAACATATACGCACAATTGTAACAAGGCAGCTTCAAAGTGAATGAAAACAGTGAAAGAATCATTCCACCTGTTAATAGAGATTTAATGGTTTATTGTTCAATAAAGTAGCTGTACCAAAGATAGACAGGAAAATACCAAGGATACCTACTTCAAAGTTAAGGTAGTGATAACCATACATCCATAAGATGAGCATTTTAAAACTTCAAACAGTTGCTATCACATCAACCTAGTAATTGATTACTTCTTTGCAACAAGATAATTACTAAAAGAGCCATAATAGCCCATAAGTGCATCATAATTTTCAACTTTTTCATCTAGATCAAAAAAAAAAACTTTGACATCTACAGAAAATTCCATTTCCAACATGACACAAGCAAATTTAGTATCCATACAATCTGAAAAGACAAAGGTAAAATTCACACGATTGTCAAAAACAAACAGCAACAATAAAAATTCGTAAAGAAGAAAATTGAAGGGGATGCCAAAAAAAAAAAAACTAACAAAAAAGTACTAACCTGAAATGCCTAGTTAATTAGAAGAGAGGAAGAAACAGACTGCAAGTTTTTGCTGCTCCCTGCTTCCTTTTCAGCATTAAAGTAATCCTGAAGAGCCACCATCTCAACTTTACGGCATTTCAAGCTTCTTATTGCCTCAGCAGTAGCCAAAGCTCCAGCCACGGTTGTTATTATAGGAATCTTGTATGCAAGAGCCATCCTCCTTAGCTGCCTCCCATCAATCTGGTCAATGTCATCACCTGAACTCGTGATCACCATCAACTGTATCTGTCCATTAGCAATCATATCACCGGCATGTGGCCGCCCCTCATGCATCTTCAGAACACAATCCACCGGGATGCCATCTAATTCAAGAACATGGGTCGTGCCAGATGTAGAAACAATTTTGAATCCAAGACCTAGAAAGGCCCGCGCAATAGTAGCAAGGTGAGGCTTTGTCAAGTCATTTAAGCTAAGGAACAGTGTGCCAGAAATGGGTAGCTTCTGCCCGGCAGCTAATTGGGCCTTGGCAAAAGCAACTGAAAATTCAGAGTGAATTCCCATTACCTCGCCAGTACTACGCATCTCAGGACCTAGAAACACATCACATCCTTGGAATTTGTCAAACGGAAGAACAGCTTCCTTAACTGATACATGCCTTGGAATAACCTCTCTTGTGAAATTGAGGTCATGCAGAGATTTTCCAGACATGACAAGAGAAGCATATTTAGCCAATGGGTGACCAATAGCCTTGGACACAAAAGGCACCGTACGGGATGCCCGGGGGTTAGCCTCCAGCAAAAAAACTTCCCCAGAAGCTGTGATTGCATATTGACAGTTCATGAGCCCAGACACATTTAGCCTCATAGCCAATTTCGAAGTCCATGATCTGATTGTGTCCAAGCATGAAGGTGAAATGGTTTTTGTGGGAATCATGCAAGCTGAGTCACCTGAATGGACCCCAGCCTGCTCAATGTGCTCCATTATCCCTCCAATTACCACATTACCATGTGAGTCTGATAGTGCATCAACATCAATCTCTATGGCGTCAGATAAATATTTGTCAACCAAGACAGGACGTTCTGGGTCAACCTCAACAGCACTTTCAAGATAGGTCACAAGCTTTTCATCACTATAAACAATCTCCATTCCCCGGCCACCCAACACATAAGAAGGTCGGACAACTACTGGGTATCCTATGTCCGCTGCAATGGCAAGAGCATCCGCTTCACTCTTGGCAATGCCTCCTTTTGGCTGCTCAATTTTTAGTTCATTCAGGATTGCATTGAATCTCTCCCTGTCCTCAGCGGCATCAATGGAATCAGGTGATGTACCCCAAATGCGAACATACCCTGCCCCACTTTTACATTTAGGCTTATGCTCGTCTAAGTAATGCTGAATGCTTAGAGCCAGTTTCAGTGGCGTTTGACCTCCAAACTGCACAATGATGCCATCAGGTCTCTCTAAGTCAATGATGTTCAGAACATCTTCAATTGTCAGAGGTTCAAAGTATAGGCGATCACTTGTGTCATAATCTGTTGATACTGTCTCAGGATTCGAATTCATCATGATTGTTTCATAGCCTGCATTCTACAACCAATAATTAAATCAAGGTCTCAAAAGTTATGCATTACTGAGAAAAATCCTGGGTAAACAAAAAGAGAACAAGAACTTCATGTACAGGTGGGAGTAGATGCATATATTTCTCCCATTTCTTTTTTCAGCAAGTTATATTTCTCCCATTTCGCTGAACTATAAGATTGACAGAATTTTTTTTGTAATTACTTACTTTTCCTTTTTTGTCTCTTTTGTGTCATTAGCATGCACGGAGTTCCTTGACGAGCCTTATGTGTCTTAAACTTATAAAGGAGATTGTCCATTAACGTTGGTGAATAACCATCTATCTCAAAAACTTACATTGTTGAATAGGGTATAACTTAAGTATTTATATTTCAACATGCACCCTCACGTGCAAATTAGATTTTGGGCCTAACATGTGAAACTTTTTTTTTTTTAAGAATTAGGTGACGGTGAAATTTGAACACAATATATCATTCTATGATATACCATGTTGAACAACCATATACTCTAAAAACTTAAGTTCTTGGAGAGAGTGTAATCTAAATATTTATACTTCAACAAAGGTGAAACATGGAATATTTGTACAAGTTATACGTTTCATCAACACGTTGTGGAAAATCGTTAAGTATAAATATATTAGATACCTGTGACCAAACTGGTGAAATAGTATATCTCCCCCAAAAAGCAAGTTTTTATACCAACACACAAAAAAAATATTTTTTTTGCGAATGATAAATAGATAGGGGGTGAAATGGACTTTTTGGAATAGAGGGAATTGAACTCTCTCGATTTCTAAACTCGATGGATTTTCGACCAATAGTGTTTTCAAGTATATGACCAATTGAAAACAAAGCAAGTCAGATTCTGACTCGGGATACTAAATTACAATCTCAGATACAAGATTTTTTTTTTTTTGGTTTCACAGGATCTCAGAGTCTCAGATTTATATAATATCTTCTTGGATCAATTGTCATAGTGTCATACATATAGAAGCCCATGCCAAATGATACAACCACATCGGTTGAAGGCTAGGATCATTGTACATTCAACAGAGTATGTGCTCACAAGCTATTCAGCAGGTTACCTCATTGCACCTTTTTGGGGGGTATAAGTAGGTAGCCTTATTGCTCAAATTTGCCATGTCAATATTCATGTTTGTGTTTAACAGAGCCAACATTCCACATAATAAATGAGCATGGGTTAACAAGCAAACAAAAAGGGGCAAGAATAGCATATGAGGGTATTGTGGAAGGTGCAAACCTGAAGGGCGAAGGATGTATGGCAGCAGCAGTAGTCGAACTCAATTCCCTGACCAATCCGATTCGGACCCCCACCTAAAATCAAAACTTTTTTCCTTTGGGTGGGAGCTGATTCACACTCAGTGTCATAAGATGAGTACATGTAAGGAGTGTTAGCCGCAAATTCTGCAGCACATGTATCAACTCGTTTATATGCCGGTTTAACACCCAAAGATAACCGCTTCAAGCGGACTTCTTTCTCAGTGGATCTTGTTGCAAAAGCTATCTGCCTATCACTAAAACCTCTCTTTTTCACTTCATAAAAGTCATCCTCTGTCAAAACAGACAAACTCTGGGCCACAAGGTATTGTTCCACATTTACCAGCTCCTTCAGCTGAGTGAGAAACCATTTGTCAATGCAACTCAGCTCATGAATATCATCCACCTTCATTCCCCTCTTCAAGGCAGCATATATGGTATGGATGCGATCTGGACTAGGGACCCGAAGACTATATTTTAACTGGTCCCAGTCCCAGTCCAGCCCCTTGACCTGTGCACAACCCCATCCAGAATAGCCACATTCCAATGATCGAACTGCTTTCTGAAAGGATTCTTGGAATGTGCGGCCTACTGCCATCGATTCACCAACAGATTTCATCTGGGTTGTAAGTATTGGCTGTGATCCTGGGAATTTCTCAAATGCAAACCGGGGTATCTGCATGATATAAATTATTTATACCAAAAATCAACTGTGCGAATATATAACAGAAAACAACATGAGAAACACAATCAGTGTGCAACTGTAGGCAACGGTATAGATTATTAGCTCTTAGAATATGACATGTGAGCCTAATTATTAAAACACTCACATTTTCGAAAACTGGATTCCAAGATTCAACAACCACCAGAAATTAACCATACAAGTTTCATTTCCCAAAAAGAACAAAACACCTAAATAAATAAATAGATAACAGGTCAGATTTTGCAGGTGTCAGAGTACGATCAAGTGGTTCAGCTCCTGAGGTTACTTTTCGGTGTAGAAAGTCTGGGTGCAGGACAAAGCAACAGAAAATTAGAGGAGAAGAACAAACCAAAGAAAATAAACAGTCCTAGAATCCTTTGGGCATTACAGGAATCAATTATATAAACTTTTAGCAAGAGAGATGTAAGTAGAAATAACAAAAACAATATTAAGGAAAAAGATTCTTGCCTTGGTTACCACATAATCTATGGAAGGTTCAAAACTAGCAGGAGTTTTCTTTGTGATGTCATTAGGAATCTGATCCAATGAATAACCAACTGACAACTTTGCAGCCATCTTTGCAATTGGAAAACCAGTAGCTTTTGAGGCCAGAGCCGAGGACCTTGAAACTCTAGGATTCATCTCAATCACCATAACTTCTCCATCATGAGGACTTACAGCAAATTGAACATTTGAACCACCACATTCAACTCCAATTTCCCTTATGATTGCAATCGAGTAATCTCTAAGCCTCTGGTACTCCTTATCAGTCAATGTCTGCGCAGGAGCCACAGTGATCGAGTCACCAGTATGAACCCCCATTGGATCAATATTCTCAATGGAGCAAATAATAACCACATTGTCCGCCAAGTCTCTCATAACCTCAAGCTCATATTCTTTCCACCCCAACAGAGATTTCTCCACCAAAACTTGTGATGTTAAGCTAGCATTGAGGCCCGACTTACAAATCGTCTCGAATTCCTCCCTATTATAAGCAATCCCACCTCCAGTCCCACCTAAAGTGAACGCTGGTCGTATAATCAAGGGAAACTCCCCAATCGAATTCGCAATCTCAATACACTCCCGCAGAGTATTCCCAATTCCCGAAGGAGGAGTCTTCAGCCCAATGTTCTTCATAGCTTGTTTGAACAAATCTCTATCCTCTGCCTTCTTAATCGCTTCAAGCTTTGCTCCGATCAACTCAACGCCATACTTGTCAAGAGCTCCACTTTCAGCCAATGCCACCGCAAGGTTAAGGGCCGTCTGACCACCCATGGTGGGCAATAGAGCGTCAGGCCTCTCCTTCTCGAGCACTTGCTCAACTAGTTCTGGTGTCATTGGCTCAATGTAAGTCCTATCCGCCAAATCTGGGTCAGTCATTATTGTTGCCGGATTGGAATTAATAAGAATCACTTGATAACCCTCCTCCTTAAGAGCTTTACAAGCTTGAGTCCCCGAGTAATCGAACTCACAAGCTTGCCCAATCACAATTGGCCCTGCACCCAGAATCAAAATCTTCTTTATATCGGTTCTTTTACCCTGTTCTGGCTTATCAAACACTCCTCCATTCTCTGAATCATTGTCGCTAGTAACCACCACCCGATCGCTTCGAATTGAGTTCACTCTGTTACGTGATTCTGATGAATGAAAAATCGAGGGCCGGGATTGGAGGTTTAAAGACGATAAATTTCTGTTTGTGCATGGTGTATTTGGGTAGAAAAAGAAGCGCAAAGAGTTGGGCTTTGACAAAGACTTCTTGGAGGGAGTGAGACTGGATGACGATGATGAAAGGAGACTAGAACAGACATTGTCGCAGTGCTTCATGCAATAACCCATTTCACTGTCGCGCTATTCTCTTCAGCTTTTCTTCACGGTTAACAGAAACAGAAAATCACCGGAGGCTCAATACTAGATACACACATGCATACATATGCATATATATATGAAAAGAGAGAGAGATCCGTAGTTTGTACCTGTGTGTACGAGAGTATATAATTCGGAAAATAAAGGAATATCTCAGAATCTAGCCTGCTATGACGCCTTAAGATGCTTATGTATAGTGTGCCTACAAAAGGGTTTCGTTCATCTTTGTCAACAAGCGTTCGACTCGCACTGTCACTTTGGGGTGGCAAAAACTCTTGCCCTAGACAATAGTGTTTGGCTCGCAGCTATGAAATCTGGCCGATTGGCAGAAAGAGAACATGGAAATAATGCTCTGGGATAATTACACCTTTCCCCCACATACTATTACCCTAATTTGAATTGGCCCCTTGAGTATTTATTTACTTTGCATTATATCTTCTACTAATCTAATTTGTGCTACCCTACACATTTTTTGGACGAAAACATTAATGTAGACATTTTCCTAGTTGAATAATGTTATTAACTTCAAAGAGTAGTTCCAGCCATAAAAGGGATAAAGTGTAAATTTTTTGACTCCGAATTTTGATAATCTTTTGAGACCATGCCATAAATTTTTTATGAATACCCTAATTCTAATATGGATGATCTGTTTTTGACTGGATCAAAAAAGAAATTAGTTAAAATGCCGCAAGTTGATTCAGATACCCTTGATGTTAAATCCAAAAAAAAATAGTATTTGGACTTAACTTGAGAACTAATTCAGGGACATAATCAATTACAGTTGTTGGAATAAAAGTGAATTGAATATAATATTAAAATTCACAACTAATTCAATAACTATTTTGAATAAGTCTCTATCTCATTATTCTTTCCTAGTCTCATTCCCGAACTATTCTAAAACCAAAAAATTTAGCCTTTTATGCAAAATCTTATTATGTTGATTAGGTAAACGTGTAGTATGTTTAACTCGGTCATTATTGACGGAAAAACTGAAATCAGGGCCATCATTTGATAGGATTAAATGTAATTACAAGAAAAATAAGAAGAAATTACGCACGCCTCCGGACCTAGTCCGATCGCCATAAAGTTCCAATAGGAATGTGCTTAACATGAATATACTTAATAGATTGAAAGTGTACAAAGTAGAGTGCTTGGATGCTTTTGATGGTATGAATATTATTCATGCATTTAGGGGTGCAACTCAGGCGGGTTGGGTGGGTTGGACAGTCAACTCCAGTCCAACCCTATGTATATAATCTTCAACCCTAACTGTTGGAAATCATATAACATATTTTGGAAGCGTAAGATTAAAGACATACCTTATTCGCTTTAATCAAAAAAAATCGTTTGAAGATGTTCTACGTACTTTAAAATCCAAATCAACGTCTTTTCTTTAATTGCTCGAGCAGTATAATATTGTTACACAATAGGAATTAATTACACAATAGGAATCAACTCTGAGTTTCCACAGCACAAAAGCCTTTTAATGTTATGTAGGGAAAGAGAGAAAAATACAGTAGGTATCTACGATGTCTTATCTATTGGATTGCTTTTGGTTTATATAGGCAACCAATAGGTATCATTAAGAGACACTTCATATAGGGACATGTTTGTTAACAGACATGTATTTTGGGTGAAGAATATCTTTTGGTAAAGAATACCTCTTGATAAAAAATACCTCCAAAAGACATATCTCTTTAGTCATTCTTTAATTTGGGTCAACCCACCATGGGCGCCCAAGTTTGGGTCCATTACTCAACCAATATCTAACATCTCTCACTCGCACGTGATGGGTACGACACTGTCATTTCTCTCAATCTATTATGTACATCAACATCAATTCATACAGGATAATGGGTCGTGCGATCGCTAAGCACACCTATAATTTGGGAGCTCTACACTAGAAACTATACAGAGCCAGCATAGAGACATCAACCCTAAAAAAAATGAAAACGGTGTCTCAAGTACTCTAGACCCATTTGGATACACCAGTTCAAGCATCTCTAATCCCTCTCAATATAAGAGCATGCATAACCCCTCGAAGCCTTCGCCTATATATATTCACACTTTGTCACTATCCAAATTAGCGCCCAAAGTTGTCGACTGTAAATATATCGCGGGATGTTCCAAATGATCTTCCTTTCACCCTTATGTCACTTTAGTTCAAAATTAACCGATTTCCCAGCAATGTCCCGGAAGGCCGAATCACTCATGGTTGTAAGTAACATGTAAAAGTAGCTGAGCATTAATTCTTTCACTTTATGACATAATCAAAAGTCAAAGAGTACATAGAAAGTTTGGTTAAACAAAATAACCTGGTCATGTTAAAAATGACTCGGAGGGCTCACACAGTGAGGAAGCAAGGATCCATTACTTCACCTCCTTAATTGTCGCCAAGCACATGTAGTATGAAATACATGTTACGGCAAAGTATCTCGATCCTAATGAGAGCATATGTCATACTCAGACACCGTACAACTCTTAGTCTAGTCGTTCTACAAGCGTCTAACCCAAGTTCTCTATTTGCTCGCTCTTCAAAGACGCCAAATTAAGATCTTGCATCTGGCTAATCAATCACAGGCATAATAGACATGGAGTTATGTCCATTATCGATCCTTAAATGTCAGATATCATTCTGTATACAATACAGAGCGATACTATATGCTAAAGTATCTCATCTTTGCTCGCCATATCAAGTGTCAAAGGTGATTGCTCGTGTGAATGAGCCAATCACACCCGTTGACATACTTAATGTGTGTGCTTTCTCAAATATCAAGGTAATCAAGCAATATAACATTTAATTGCAATTAAAACCATGTATTAATATCCCAAAAATGTTAATACAAATGACTGTCTGATCTATATAATCTCTAGTACATAATCAATACCTACGAAATTCTAGAGTTCTAACATGAGTCATATACACATCTCTAGCTATAGACTTAGTTAGGGGGTCTGCAACCATCTGAGTTGTAGGTATGTGTTTCAAGACTACTTCTTTTTGTGCAATCATGTCTCTGATGTAATGATATCTTAGATCTATGTGTTTGGTTCTTCTATGATACTTAGGATCCTTAGCATAAGCTAATGCAGCCATGCTATCACAATTAATCGTCACCGGGCCCAAGGTATTTGTGACAACTCCTAGATGTTGAAAGAACCTTAACCAAACAGCTTCTTGTACAGCAGCCGAATAAGCCACGTATTCTACTTCCATGATGGATAAGGATATGCATGATTGCTTTTTATTACTCCATGTAATGGTCCCACCATTAAGTAAGAAATCATATCCTGATATGGACTTACGTTGATCTATATCACCACCCCAATCAGTATCACTATAACCAACCATTCGTAAATCTAGAGACTGGTAGCATAACATATAATCTAAAGTCCCTGTGAGATATCATAGTATTCTTTTGACTGTCTTCCAATGAGCTATTCCAGGATTTGACTGAAAATGACTAACTAAGCCTACCGCATAGCAAATATCGGGACGGGTACACATCATAGCGTACATTAAGCTACCTACAGCACTGGCATAGAGAACACGAGCCATCTTTTCCTTTTCCTCAGGAGACTTAGGACACATCTTTAGGCTTAGGCTCTCGTCTTTCGCTACATGAGTGTCTATGGGTTTGCAATTATGCATCTAGAATCGTTCAAGAACCTTCTTAATGTAAGTCTCTTGAGACAAACCAAGAAGTTTCTTAGAACGATCCCTTATGATCTTAACTCCGAGCACATAACTTGATTCACCCAAGTCCTTCATCTCAAATGTTGAGGACAACCATTTTTGAGTAGTGATAATCATCTCCTTGTTATTTTCAGCCAATAAAATATCATCAACATACAAAGATAGAATCAAGAAGCTATCTTTAGACCGTTTAACATACACACAATGGTCTTCATCGATCATCGTAAACTCATTAGAAGTGATAGCTCGATGAAACCTTAGATACCACCATCTGGATGATTGCTTCAGGCCATAAATTGATCGTTGGAGTTTACAAACTTTGTTCTCCTGACCTAGCACCACGAAACTTTCAAGTTGATCCATGCAGATTTTTTCATCCAGTTCTCTATTAAGAAATGTAGTTTTAACGTCCATTTGATATAATTCTAAATCCAAACGTGCAGGGGAGGAGCCAGAATTTTTTTTCAGTGAGGGCAACCATCAAATTAAAGAGAATGATTATTCAACAATTATCAAAGTTCGTTGTATCTAATGAACATATTTATTATCTCAAATTTTCATTCTCTATAAAAAAAAATTCCTAATCTAACACCTTTTATAAAATAATTCTTCTTATTATTTTATTTACTTTCAAAAATTTCACATATAAATATACATGAAAAAATGATAGCCGACTATGAAAAACTGATATAATTTTTTTTAAAGCATCAGAATAAAGACAGTTTTCATAGAGAATGCTATTTTGACATATTATTTTGTCAGTGTGCTTGTCAATGATAAGATTTTGACTCATCCGAATGACAATTTTTCTTGAAAACTCTATTTTGAATCTAATCTAATTATTCAACTGATTTTATTTTTTTAATCTATATTCGAATCTATTAATTATTATGAATTTTATCAAAAATCCAATCTTATATATATATTTCTGTGTTTGTGTCACATTGTAATTTTAATTCAATTTAATTGTTTAGTTTTATCAAATGTTTACATATATATTTGTGTATGCATATCANATTAAATATTATGAATTTTATCAAAAATCCAATCTTATATATTAATTCAATTTAATTGTTTAGTTTTATCAAATGTTTACGTATACATATTTGTATATGCATATCAAATTGAATTGAATCATAATTAGATCAAATTTTTTTATGCGCCCAAATCTAAAATCTTAGAAAATAATGTAGTATATTTGATCGAAGTAAATTGAATTGAATCATAATTATATCAAATTTTTTTATGTGCCCAAATCTAAAATCTTAGAAAATGATGTAGTATATTTGAACTTAGATAATTGGTCAAAAATATATATGTATGTCTTAGTAATCGAATTCGGAGAAGGATTGATTCAATTGTAGAAGGAATAAAGATAACTAGAGATTAAATAAAAAATTGTGAGATTAAGTCTCTATGAGCGAACTTGGAGTCTAAATTTTTAGTGCATTAAAAAAAATGAATGGGGGCGCGTTATTAAAAAAATTAATTTTTATTATAATTTTAAATTAACCCTACAAATTTTCAGAATTTCAGTGGGGGCAATTGCCCCCACCTTGCCTCCGCCCCTGCGAATGTGCAACAATAGCTAGA